TATCACTCAAGGGCCAGCGTCCGAGGCTTATGAGACACTTTGTTTTATGTACATATTTACTCCAATTTCACGATCCAAATTAATGTTTGTAAAATATGTAACATCAAATGTTATTCTATTACTTATGAATTGTAGTATGATATTACTATATTTTTACCTCTATGCATGTCATCAAGCAGCTCGACCACTGCCTCCGCATTCTGAGCTATTTCAATATAAAGTTGCAGCCAGTAAATGGCAATTATCATTTATTGAATGTTTACGAAAATATGTCCATATTAACAAGAAGGTAGTATTTATACCCTTGAAAAAGCACATGATACTATTAATCTATCCCACGTATGTAATAAAAATCCGTGTTTATCCGTACTAAACAGTGGTGGACCGTACCATTCCGTACCGTTTCGTGTTGCAACGCAATAAACCGTATAAGACCGTGCTAATCCCTGCCTCTCCGTAGTACAACGTATTACGATCGTAGCTTTCCGTGACAATGCCGTATTAATCCGTATTAAAACCGTACCTTATACGTAGGGTAACCGTACAAATACGTAGTTTTCCGTTCCAACCCGTGGAAATCCGTAGCAGGTTGAGGCCTACGAATCAGTACGGACTAGTACGGTTTCCGTACGGACTAGTACGTATCAGAACGGTTTAATACGGACTAGTAGGGATACGCTACGGTTGATTTTTCCGTAGCAAATTTTTGTGCATGTTCAAAAATTGTCAAGGATCGCTACGGATATACAAGGACTACTACGATTGATTACGGTTACAATACGGAGAGCTACAGACCAGTACGGGTAGCTACGGACGATGCCGGAATTAATCCGTGGCTCTTCCGTGGGCGTATTCCGTGAATATGTGACCGGGGTATAACTCTGCCAAAAATCATTGAACCATGACCAAATTCAAACTTGTCCTGTGCATTCCTTTGACGTATCCATATGTTAAATTTGAGTTGAATGTGTAATACCAACGGAAACTGAAAATTTCATCAGGGGGCATAACTCTGCCAAAAATCATCGAACCATGACCAAATTCAAACTTGACCTGTATTTTCTCATGACATATTCATATGCCAAATTTTAGTTGAATGTGTGCAACTGTAACTAAGATAATAAACGGAAACTGATGATGAAGGAATGACAGAATGACGTAACAAGGTAACACTATATGCCCCAGCCATTATATGGCGGGGGCATAAAAAGTTGATATACTTTCTTGCTTCTGATGTAACACATCTTGGTTCTTATCTGATACCACACTGGCCATAGCTTTCGCAGAAGTGGTGGGTCTACCGGTGCGGCGATGGAGATTTCGTCGCAGAAGCGGTGGAAAAACATGGCTGTCGGATAGTTTTTTGTCGGTGTCGGTAAGTTTATGACTTATTTGTACGTTATGTTTTTATGTTCTACTGATAACACCTAGTGAGACTGGAGCCCACATATGTACTCTTCCAACTTATTACACGCATGGGGTGCAAATCATGACCAGTTATGCAAACACTTCTGCACAGTTTGACGAGGAGACGCCACTTTTGCTTAATTTTGTTTATAACACTACATATGTACTCAAAACTACCCCTAGATACACTGGCATCGCATCGTATGTATGATAATTACACAAAACAACCATATTTTGGAACTTTTGGAAATTGATATTACTATTTTAATAAAAGAATTGACAAAAATTGATTACAACGCAGACGGCGGTGGATTCGATTGCAACGCAGTGCGGTGGGCCCGATATCATTAGTGTCTTTTTTTTAACGTTAAAGTCACCGACACTTAGGAGTTGAGCTCCAAACACCTAAAAATACAAATGAAATATATATTTGTTAAAGGGATACTCAGGCAAAATAATGACAAAAATACAAAAATGATCTTCTGTACTCAAATCACCCTAAAATGACATTTCTTAAAATCCCAGCATGAATTTCTGTATAAATTCTGTATATTTTGGGTTTGAAACTTAAATATATCTATATATGTTGAACAAAATTTAGACGCAAACAGAATCACCGAATAGTTTAAAAACAAGTCATGTGATTTGAACAAACCCTGGAAGTTACAATAACAGGTATTGCGGATATTGTATGATTGAAACAAGTCTAAGTTATTGATTCGACATGTTTTTTAATGTTTCCAGAGTACACAGTGACAACTATTGTGAAATCTTAGCACTCTAACCTGACCCACGTGGGTCAAGTTAGGAAAACACCATTTTATTCTTTATATGGAGAAAAGTTTTGTTCCTTTGACTGTTTAGTGTATTCATTTTGAGGACATTTACAGAATAATGAAAGAAAGATCCAAAACTAAGAAATTAAAATTTTGCCTGTGTCTCCCTTTAATCATAACACATATAGTTGTTATATATATCAATGAAAGTAAATATACGCTTTTTTGCATCATGTACCTTATAAATATGTTTTTATAAAACAATCCCTTTTTTAGATACTAGTTTAACATATTGGGGTGTATGTTAACTATGAAGTGCTTAAATGGTAATTTTATCTTATAAATTGAATTAAAATATTCTTAAAAGTTTGTATTTTCTTTACAAACTATGCATTCATTTAACTTATAAAATGTCTTGACAAATTAAATTCCAGTTTGGACACTAGTTCAACATATTGAAGTATATGTTAACTATATATAGCTTTAACTCGTATATTGAATTTAATCTTTCAATTTAACAAATCAAAATGTTTTTGTAGTTTAACACACAAGAGTCATCATTAACTATGTATTACTAACACATTGGTCATAAATATATTTTGAACTTTATTTTTACTTATGAACAGTTTGTGATAAAATTTTAATACATTGATGAGATGAGATGAGATCTGTTGATAGTGACACTAACTTAAGCTTTATTGCTTTATCTATTTTCTTATTTTATTTATTTCATTTTTTTAATATAACTTTACATGTTAACATTAAATTATATCAAATTTTTATTTAACGTGTACAAAGCTATAAATAGGCTGCATGTAATATAAAAAATTATAGAATGCATTTTGAAATAAAATATTACAATATACCTGACAAAAAAAGGTAGACGAAAATGTTGTTTATTGGCCTATGAGCGAATTGCACATGCACGCGTTCAAATTATCGTATATTTTTGTTTGTAAATTGTAATTGCAATCTTAAAGTCAGAATTTAAATTGTCGCCTTGACAAATAGAGGCCTTAAAACCTAATAATTGTATATTTATTAATTCCAGCCCATATACTTATCATATATTTCAATAAAACTTACATATATGCTGTTTTGAAGAAAAAGTAAATATTTATACGTCAAAAATATACACAAAATAAAAAAATGTGTTAGAAAAAAATCGCACATCCTTCAAATCACCTTCCAATTGATTCTATTTCCAATATTTTCGCATTATCCTTTTGTCAACAGGTGACACGAGTCATCTATTAAACATATATTACTGGTACTTATTATATATTTTCATCATATTTTTCTTTTTCAGAAATATCAAAACTTCATCTTCAATATACAAACACACTATGAGAAAAAATTTTAAACTATCGCCGATTTATTTTTATTTTACAAAATATTTCAACAAACTCAAGCGTGACACTCAGCTCTGTCGTATTTAAATTGCGGTGCGCTATGAATGTGAGAACCCGCATTATCCCGAATGACTCCGATTATAGCAAGGCTGGTTCAAAGCGCATTTATATACAGCATATCTGAGAGTCATTTTGTTTTCAAAAAAGCGTATATTTACTTTCATTGATATATATAACAACTATATGTGTTAGGATTAACAACTATATATTTCATTTGTATTTTAGGCGTTTGGAGCTCAACTCCTAAGTATCTGTGACTTTAACGTTAAAAAAAAGACACTAATGATATCGGGCCCACCGCACTGCGTTGCAATCGAATCCACCGCCGTCTGCGTTGTAATCAATTTTTGTCAATTCTTTTATTAAAATAGTAATATCAATTTCCAAAAGTTCCAAAATATGGTTGTTTTGTGTAATTATCATACATACGATGCGATGCCAGTGTATCTAGGGGTAGTTTTGAGTACATATGTAGTGTTATAAACAAAATTAAGCAAAAGTGGCGTCCCCTCGTCAAACTGTACAGAAGTATTTGCATAACTGGTCATGATTTGCACTCCATGCGTGTAATAAGTTGGAAGAGTACATATGTGGGCTCCAGTCTCACTAGGTGTTATCACTAGAACATAAAAACATAACGTACAAATAAGTCATAAACTTACCGACAACAACAAAAAACTATCCGACAGCCATATTTTTCCACCGCATCTGCGACGAAATCTCCATCGCCGCACCGGTAGACCCACTGCTTCTGCGAAAGCTATGGCCAGTGTGGATACATAATATTTTAAAAACATATTTGCCACATTGTACATACTTCTTGCATATTATGGCATTTTATAATATCTCTCAAATCAATATAGTTTATACACAACATGCCTTTTTTGTCAGAATTTTACTTTTGGAAGTGTGACCTTAAAGTGAATTGGTCTATGCTATAATGGAAGGTCTGTAATACATAAATAATTACACTGATAGTTTTTGATATCTGACATATAATCAAACCACGAAAGAATTATATATGTGTGTTGTGTGAGATACAAGACTTGATATTACATTTTTACATATATTTATTTATAAAATGTACTAGAACAAAATATTTATTATTATTGATCATAAAATATTCATACTTAATCATTTAAGATAAATTACTAATTTTATATCAAGATTGGAAAATCTTATAGAAAATGTGCCAACTGTAGACCAAAGAGACAAACGGGGATATACTGGCAAATGGTATAAGAACTTTTTTATAAAGTGTCATTAAGTACAAATCTGGAGGTATGCCCTAATTAAGCAATTGTAATAAATCAAGTATGCAACACCACAACAAACATATCACATTAATCTATTTTTCAAAAACAATATAGAACAATTCTTTAGAAATAAATTTCTTATATTATACCTTCCATATTTTGTTATGACATTTGGGGGCATCACTGAACTGTAACACCCGCCAGAATACTGATCTGCCATCCAATTATACTCTCTATAATCTACAGGGTGTAGGAAATCATCCGTCCCAAACACCCAGGCATAGTGAGCACATAGTGCTTCTTTCCTGTAATAACAAAATAGTGTTAGAGGTCAATAATCCAAATTACGCATGATACATACATGTATGTAAATCAGGCAGAAATTTTTATAATCGGTTACATAACTTCCGCCATGGAGGAAAGGCAAGTGGTTTGAAGTAAACAACATTAACAACTTCGGCCAAGGACGCTATTTAAGGGGTTTGAAGTAAATTAAAGTTAACAACTTCGGACATGGATGTGAGGCAGAAAATCAGAAAATAAATTATCATCATAATTATGTAGATTTTACAGCCACCATACAAGTTTCTTACCGTACGAGAGGTGTTGCAGCAGCCATTGCTCTAGCTCTATCTGCCAATATAAACCCCATTATTGCTGGATGACCACCATTAGGTTTTGTATCATCTATACAATAACAGCATACACCGTCTGAGGACATGGCTATACCATTCAAATCTACAATCAAATCATGTGACCAGTTACTAGTGTACAAAAGCTTTTTTCTTGTTTTTTTCCTTCATTTATTAAAGTCAGTTTTAAATGTCTTTAACAAAAGCTATACGAGACAGAACACTCACACCCGATTTTTCTGTCATTTTGTATGTGCACAAATTGCCCCAATAACTAACTACTAGACTAAATTAAGTATAAATATTTATTTTCTCAATATCATTTTTTCTTATTATATTTTAGGAAACTAAAATATGTTATAGTGCATAAGAATCAAGTCATTGTGTGACTTTAAAGAGCAAGAAATCTTTTGTTAAATAAAACAAAAACAAAATTGTAAAATGGTTGTCAAAGATTCAAACTTGCAACTACATGTACGAGATTTCAATTCTGTAGTACTTAACCGATAGGACACTGGGTTGTAATTGTAGGTTTAAGTATCAAGAACTATACTATCCTTTCAAGCAGATACGTAAATCCAAACTAATTATGGAAACTAACGAAACACCTTCCCAAATGAATAAGTCTCCTTTAAATTTTGTCAAATAATTATAGACAGCCATTGGCAATCAAAACAACATAATCATACTAATCAAATTCATAAGCACGAGTGTAGCTCACTTCTTTTCATTTTTTTCTGGACATTCTTAACTATTCTAATCAATTTTTCTGAACATTTAAGAACAACATTCACATTTACCTAATTTTCTCCAAAACTGTGTTTTATAATACATCACTGTTTTAATTATTGATCCCATCGGCACTTTTTGCATTAATTGTAATCGTTCCCATGGTAACGGAGGATCAAACTCTATCCGGTTGAGAAGTGGTGGAGGCACTGAACTTATCACATACCTAGCCTACAATACATACAAGACTAAAGTACAAAAAAATCAAATAAATAGGGTTGGATATCGTTCTTCACGAAACGGTCCGATACCGATACCGGTACTGACGAAACGATATGGGTATTTTATTGATACTGATACTTTTACAATACCTAACCCGTTGCTGCAAGTATAAGAACTGAAGAGATATAACATGTAGTAATAGAAAATAAATATGTTACATTACTGGTCTTTCTGAAATTTCATGCTGTAAAGTATAATTTTCTTTTGTTGTTTTGTGTTTACTCTTTTTTACAACATTTACACATGTTAATTGTAAAATACTTTTACTTTTTCATCAAAAGGACATGATATAATTTAAACACAGCAAAATATCTTATGCAGGACAGCAGTCTGCAGCTGAGAAGTCTACAAATTATTGTTTTAATCTTGATATCTCTACATCTGAAAGAATTTAAGACAGTTGGTTATCTATTATTTTCTTACAGCTATTATTATTACTGTGTAAAAATTTTATTCTGATGCTGATATTCTTTTTAAATCACATTATTGTTTACTGTAATAAATGAAATCACTGGATTGGTTGGCTTACTTTGCAATTTGGAATTACATGTAAGAAATTTCATTAGATGTTTTTTTTCAAAGTCTGTTCTACTACAACAGCACAAACATATTTTCCACCAGTAATTAACTTAGAAATTTTGAAATACATGTATATGCACAGTCAGCACAGACTGTTTCCAAAATGACTTGTTTACATTTTCATGTTAACCTAATATTAGTCCTTGTAAAAGTCATAAAGCAAATACCTATGCTTTACAAATAATAAGGATTTGGTATTTATTAATATTGAATTTACCCTTCAATTTTATACATCTTTTATTTTTCAATAGCATGCACCGTGAACATCTTGCTACAGAAAAAAAGTGTTGTCCTTACCAAATTGCATAATTCCATACTGCTCAAATACGCAAAAATACTAGCCAACATTTGCAAAAAATCCTACAAAACACTATATGAAATATGTTTCATGTGTATGGAAATACATACAAGACTAAAGTACAAAAAAATCAAATAATGAAATAAAGATGCAATATTTGTTGAAATAGTAACTAAAATTCAGAAATTTACCTATTTCTTAAAAAAAAACAAGAATCTGTGTTTGATAAACACAAATGCCCCCGCGCTCACTGTTGTCAATAATTTAACTTTAGAGAGTGAAGTAGCTAATTTGTATGTGTCTTCTCACCTGAGCATGTTTTACTCTATCCTTCAGTTTCTTTTCCATCTTAGCTTTTTCATCTTGATTATTTCTCTCAAAAGCCTTTAGCTATTAAACTCGGTAAGTAAATGCCTTCATTAATTTTCAACACTTTTTTAAATGATAAGAAAGAACAATTTGTAACTAAGAGATGCAAGCAAATTATCGCAGTTCATGAAGAAAACTAATCATGTGTAGAAATCTGTAATTGGCACCCTTGACCTTGACCAACTGACCCCTACCTCTATCAAAAGGAAGAATATCATGCACCAAATATGAAATAAATCTGTCAATAAATAAAGGCTGTATGAGCAAAAGTGTAAAAATCTATTTTTAGCACTGTTGACCTTGACCCAACTGACCCCTACCTCCATCCAAATGAGAATACCTCAATTTTATGTTCCTTCAAAATATACAAGACATTTGTCGATAGAATAAGGTTAATACACCTGTAAAAGTGTAAAAAATCTATTTTTGACATTGGTGACCTTGACCCAAATGACCCCTTACTAAAGGAAAAGGAAGAGGACCTCCTTTGGTATGACTATTACAAACATGAAAGACATTAACTTAAAAATAAAGGCTGTATAAGCAGAAATGTTTAGATTTATTTTTTTACACAAGTGACCTTGACCTAGAGACACCTAACACCACAAAAAATTAGAGGACCGTTAAAGGTATCCACCTACCAAATATGAAAGATATCATTAAATAAATAAAGTAATTTGGTGATTTTTTTTTATAAATCCAACTTGGCAGAATAGGTTAACCATACAAGGCCCTATTTTTAAAGTGATAAAAAGGGAAATTACTGGGAAAATGGATGGCACATTTATATAACTTGGCAATATCATGTACATTGTATCGATAAGTAAGTGTGAAAATTATTAAGCCATTAGTTCAGATAGAACATAAGATATTTCCAACTTGCCGGTTTAGGTTAACCATTATTCATTTTATAAGTGCTGAAAAGGGCCATAACTTGGTGCAAATGGAAGCCATAGTTATGTAACTTGCCCAGATCATATACTTTGTATAGATTAGTAAGTGTGTAAATTATGAAGCCATTGGTACAGGTAGAACTTAAGAAAAATCCAACTTGCCGTTCTAGGTTAACCTCATACGGACAGACGGACGGACGTCCGTTCCAACATTTTGGGTTTAGGGGCTATTTTCTTTGTTATTTTCTTTGTTTTCTTAAGTGCTTCTAGCCCATAAACCCTTTGATCACGGAATGAACCTACTGTTCTCTTTTGTTCTCTTTACTGTTATATAGCCCTTAAACCCAAAATATTTGCTCGGACAGACGGACGGATGGACGGTTCAACTACTACATGCTCGGGGGCATAACAAGAGCTGTCACAGGAGACGGCGAAGCTCGACTAATAAAATACTGGACGCAGTAAGGAGGACAAAACTATGAAAGAAAAACCAATTATGTATTATTATGTATTAAGTTATAGTAAAAAAATAACATTTGATAACATAAATTCCAAGATCAAGGGGAATAATTCTAGAAATAGTCATGCTAGAGTTATGGACCTTGCCACACAACATTTGTGTAATGATAAGAAATATATATTTGAAGTTTGAAGTAGATACCTTAAAAAGTAAAGAAGTTAGTATATTTCTTAAAGTAAAACCTAAGTTCAAAGAGAGATAAATCTGTAAATTTTGCTTCAAGAGTTATGAACATTGTCACATAAAATGTAATTGATGATAAGGAAAAAGTATTTGAAGTTAGGGGTAGATACCTCTAAAAATAAAAAAGTTATAATAAAAAATAACATTTTTCTAGTAAAAAAATCTAAGTTTATGGGGAGATAATTCTTGCAATATTGGTGCTAGAGTTATGAACCTTGTCACATAAGATGTGGATGATGATAACGTAAATATATTTGAAGTATGAAGTTGATCCCTTTAGAAATATATAAGTAACAGTAAAAAATAATATTTTTATGGAAAATTCTAAGTTCAAAGGGAGATAAATCTGAAAATATTGGTGCTAGAGTTATGAACCTTGTCACATAAGATGGGGATGATGATAACGTAAATATATTTGAAGTATGAGGTTGATCCCTTAAGAAATAAAGAAGAAACAGTAAGAAATAGTATATTTTGAGGAAAATTCTAAGTTCAAGGGGAGATAAATCTGAAAATATTGGTGCTAGAGTTATGAACCTTGTCACATAAGATGTGGTTGATGATAAGGAACATATATTTGAAGTTTGAAGTTGATACCTTAAGAAATGACAAAGTTATAGTGAAAAATATTTTACTGCACCAAAACTTTAATCTAAAATCTGGACGCGGACGCCGACGCCGGGGCGAGTAGGACAGCTCTCCATATACTTCGTATAGTCGAGCTAAAAATGAATTAAAGCATGATTTGCTGGTACATTTCTATGGTCTGTTGCAGTTTACCAAAAAAACAGAGTTTCTGGCATATTATGATTTACAAAGTAAGCTAAACATATGTATATTTACCTCATAAACATTGCCGTGAGAGTCTTTAACTATCACTGTATGATCATTATATTTTATATAAACAGCTGGAGAACTAAGTTTCACATAGTCCCCTACCAGTTTAGCAAGACCTTCTGATATTTGCTGAGTTCCTCCTTCAACCTTTTTTTCCTACAATAAAACAAATAAATGTTACTAAACCTAACTTAATTGGCTAAATAATTAATCTACTTATGGAAAGATCAGAGGGGAATCAAATGATCTCAATTTTATTTCCATTGATGTTTGTTACATAAAAAGTGTCAATTATCATTCAAATTGGTGTATAAAACTTGTTCACAAGATTACAGTCTAACCTGCGACTCTATTCTAAAAACATCCTGTCTATATAGAGAACACATGGTTGATGTTGGAATGGGTGAGCAAGAAAGTGTATCTTGGCAAGCACAGAGTTATGTGTTCAGTACACTAGATAAATGCCACACACTAGTTATTTGTTTAGTGATTACTACTGGCAACTACTACTACAAAAGAATTATTCCAAAGACAGCATATTTAATTAATTTAATTTAGGTGTAGATTTTTGTAATACAATTGTATAGTGATTTAATCAAACATAATTCTAGACAGCAGTTCCAACGATTTCAAGCTCTTCCAACTAAGCTTACTAAACAGTTTAAGCTTGATACCCAGATGACAAAGTGCTTTTCATAAGTGAAACAGGAAATACAGACATAATCATGGAGATATATGTACCTGTATCTTTAAGACTAGGAGCAATTGCAGAGACAAAGAATATTGTTTAAAACTTTTAATTACTCTTTCTTTTGTATGAGATGTTTATGGTAATGTTAATACAAGACAGAAGAGTTTAATGTTACCTGAGCACCATTTGTTATTGAGCTAATTCTGAGTACTCCCCCACTACAATTGAAGTACCATAGGGCACCTAGGAGAGATATCTCTGACAATTCTGCACAAAATATAGCTTTCATAAGAATTCCTGCAACTTCCTTTGCCGATCTGAAATATTTATTGTAGATAATGATTAGTTACAATACAAATGTATTTTCCTCTTAGCAGTCTTTTAATTTGACATAATTAGAAGCATTACCAGAAAATGTTAACTTCTTTCTTTTCTCATCCCCCAATCTATCAAAAAGAATTTAATTTAGATTTGAATGAAATACACTTTTGCCATACAGTTTTAAAGTGGTTATATCTAGGGGTGTGGATCGTCAGATAAGTGAAGATCTGATCCACGATTCAGCACTTACAATTCACAAATCAAACCATAAATCTTTTGTTATCAAGACACCCTTTAAAATATAAACATTTATTTCTAAAAACATGTTTATTTTTCTTTAAACAATTCTAAACATTAAACATATAAAATTATGCAAATATAAACTAGGTTTTTGTTTTTTTATTCTTCGCATGAGTATCTAAATGTATATTTGAGCAACCTACAATACAAAAGTATTCAAAACATTGGAAGTAAATTTTGCTAGTGGAAGTTAGGTAAAGATCGCATAATTCATACTAAAATTGTATTTTTTCCCCGACTTGTAGTGTGTGAGAAACAGTGAATGTATATAAACAAATAATATCATGATCCACGATCTCAGGACTTAAGAATATTCATACTGGATTATTCATTTCGGTTCATGATTATCCGAGTACTTGGATACTCGCCCCAGCCCTAGTTATATCTTCATTATTATAAATAAATAAATAAAATGTACATACTGGGTCCAGAGAATTTTATCTATAAACTGTGCCACTGTCATTGAGTCCCACTGTTTTGCTTTTTTGGCTGCCCATGGTGCTTCACATGGAACCTGTGAAACATAACAATTATAAACATGTAAAACATAACAATTTCAGCATCAGTTTTGACAATGACTGACCTAACTACCTGTATACAGCCAAGTGAGTATCATCATCAGTTGTTTTTAGAACAAGAATTCCAATGATTTCATTTTTCAAACATAAAATTCATAAAATTAGCTCTGTGATAGACTGAAACCATTTGTATTTCTGAAGGGTCAAGTAGTAAAGGAGAAGATGATTAACAAGTTAGTAACAATTCAGGTTTTAAAAATTAGTAGTATCTGAACATTAACAGATTTTTCAAGATTTTATTTTATTATTTAATATAAGCTTCTGTGATCTACATTTTGTACTTACAAAATGTATATGCATCAGACTGGAACCATTTGTATAACTTTTGTAATGGGGAACATAAGGATCAAGTTGTTAAGCAGAAGACCTTGTTTTAAGAAAGTGTTTATTTGATGCACATTGCACAAAGGATATCATGCAATCATAAAAGCTCACCACTGAGCACTTTTTCTAAGGTTGAGACTGTTTAGCATAAATGATTAGTAAAAACAAAATTTCTTTGCAAAAAGTCACACAACTTATACTTGAATTTGTCACAATAAAAGTTTTTCCTGATAGATTTATAAATAAAGCATTTATTATTAAAGAAATTCAAAATAAATCATCTGTGATTCAAATATTTAATACCTGTAAAGAGATGACTTTGAATATGTAGAGATATTTCTAACTATATGTTTTTCTATTAAAATATTCTTCTGAAACAAATTCCTAGTTCTTGATTGAAAATAATAATTTAAATATGAAGCACACAAAATTGATCTTTTATTCTTTGTTTTTACTGGGAAATTTGCAGATGCTCAAAGACAAATAGTCACTAGTTATCACTCTTTTCTAAAAGACAATTGTTAAATTGTACTCAATGCAACAACTTTTTAACTACTTGAATGTCTTTTGAAAACAACCCTATTACAATGTACATAAATGTAGCTGCTACCTGAAACAGTTATTTTTTATATATCTGATAGATTTATTTGTTCCGAGATTGACAAGAGCCATGTCAACATGGCCATCCCCCGCCGAATGTGTTTGCTCATTGGAAGAATGTATATGTAGTAGAGCAGAATAATTCCATTTTAAGAGGTCTTTTGGTAATGAAAACTGATGGCTATAGTGATTACAGATTTGAAACCTATGTGAATACTGATGGCTGAAAATAACAAAGGGCAATAACTGAAAAATAATGCAGGGTAGGTTATCATCCTTGTGTGCTGCATCCCTCCTCAGTAAAATCTATCCACCTATGAAGTTTCAAGTTGATACCTCAAATACTTTTTGAGAAAAAAATTGAATTGAAAAATTAAGTATGAAAAATAACAAAGGGCAATAACTCAAAAATTATAAAAGGTACAGTTATCATTCTTGTGCAGTGCACACCTCCTGAGTGAGATCTATGCACCTGTGAAGTTTCATTTTGATATCTCAAAGGCTTTTTGAGTTATGCTCTGGACAAAAATTAATTTTGAAAAATAACAAAGGGCAATAACTCAAAAATAATGCAGGGCAGAGTTATCATTCTTTAGCACTGCATTCCTCCTCAATGAGATCCATCCACCTATGAAGTTTCAAGATGATACCTCAAATACTTTTTCAGATAAGCTCTGGACAAAATAGCATGAAAAACAACAACAAAGGGCAATAACTCAAAAAATTGTATAGGGAAGAGTTATCATTCTTGCGCACAACATTTCTCCTCAATAAGATCTATTCTTCTATGACATTTCATGTTGATATCTCAAACACTTTTTGAGTTATGCTCCACTCAGGTGAAAAATTAGGTATGAAAAATAACAAAGGGCAATAACTCAAAAATTATGAAAGGAAGAGTTATCATTCTTGTGCACTGCACACCTCCTGAGTGAGATCTATGCACCTATGAAGTTTCATGTTAATATCTCATAGGCTTTTGGAGTTATGCTCTGGACAAAAATCAATTTTGAAAAATAACAAAGGGCAATAACTCAAAAATCATGCAAGGTAGAGTTATCATTCTTGTGCACTGCACTCCTCCTCAATGAGGTCTATCCACCTATGAAGTTTCAAGTTGATAACTCAAATACTTTTAGAGATATGCTCCGGACAAAAATTTCGGACGGAAGGACGGAAGGTCGGACGGACGGACGGAGACTATTACTATATCCTCCGCCGAAAATTTTCGGCGGGGGATAAAAATATATATTCTAATGTTTATACTAATAAAATTCTGCATTGAAGTTTGATTAACTACATGAACTATGTAATAAAATTACACAATAACTGAATATTCTGTTACCTGTTTAGCCATGATATCAAATGTTCTGATAAAATGGTTAATATCTAGCAGTTTAAATGGATTCCAAAATGGTGGCACACTTCCTTTAAACTTTGCCCAACAACTCTGTAAATAAATACATATATTATATATATTATGTACATACATAGGTATATCTTACATAAACTCATTATACATGTTTAAAGAAAAATCCAAATTGACAAAAAAAATGGAATTAAAATAAAAAAACATAGGAAAACATTCAAGTGGCCAAAAGCTAACAAGACCTGTACGCGGACAGCATATTCCACTATTTTCAGTGCTGGATAGTAAATAAAGCAACATAGAAAAGGGGACATAATGCTGCAAATGTGCTTATCTTCCCTTGTAAGTGAATAGATATTTAAGTCTAAAGTGAATACCCTTTTGAGAAAATGGCAAATGTTCTATGTAAAAAAAAAAGAGAGAAATAATAAAGCAATGATAGCATTCATGATTATCTACCCCTTAGAAATGCATTTCAAATTTAACATTGTAATCTACAAAATTTAATGTATACTCTTAAATCCATAACGGTGTAGTCATTTTCATCAACATTGTACAACTTCAGGTCTAACTCTTTACATATTCTATATACTCTGTTTTGAGTAGGTCCGACATATGCCCCACCCAGGTCAATAGCTCCATGGTCAGCATCCTGCAGAGAAATAAAATGTAATCAAATTATCATAAAAATTAGCAGTCAAAGTAAGACTGCTTTAAGTGGACTAGAAAGCAATTCATATCAGACCAAGCTTCATTAAAATCATGCTAAATTCATTAGTTATATTCACTGTGTGCTAACATGATTTTTCTATGATTTTTTTTGTTTGTTTGTTTGGATTTTTACGGCACGTCAACACATAACTGGCCATATCGTGCCGAATGCTATAATAGGCTTAAAATATTATGTAAAACATTGTAAATGACAATAGAAATGAGCCAATTAGATCCTAGAATACAAATTTATCTCTTTTAAATAATCAATTATGTTTTTTGATGGAATTGTATTAAAAAGTTCTTTGAGTGAATTTACAGAATAAAATCTATTACGGGCTTGTGAAAAATCATGACATTCAAGAAGAAAATGCTTGACAGTAAAATTTTCATTACAACCTACACAGAAAGGGGCATTGTCATTTGTGAGGAGATAAGAGTGGGTAATTTTAGTGTGTCCAATTCGGCATCGAAGAAGAACTGTTTGATCACGGCGGTTAGACAGAGATAGAGATGGTGACATATCAAGAGATGGGTTTATATCGTGAAGTTTATTAAAAACGGCATTGTCCCAATTTGCTTTCCATTCAGATGATACGAGTTTATTTATAGCCGGTCTAAAATCACAAGCAGGTAACAATAAGTCAGTTTTTTGAAAATTTAATGATTGTTTAGCTAAAGCATCTACTTTTTCATTTCCTCGTATTCCTACATGGCTTGGAATCCAATATAATTTAACATATTTTGTTTTTAGTATATCATGAAATCGTAAAAGAAGTTTTTTTACCATGATATTGTCAGATTTTTTATTTTTAATGGATATTAAAACAGAAAGCGAGTCAGAAAATATCACAAATTTATCGTGGGTATGCTGTGCTATGTATGACAATGCTAAATCGATAGCTTTTGCTTCAGCAGTAAAAATTGATGCATTATCTGGTAACCTCATACTAGATGTAAAATTATTTTCAAACACAGCCGCACTTACTTTGCAACCTTCTTTTGAACCATCCGTATAAATATGTATAAAATCTTCATGTTCTTCCTTAATTGCTAGAAACTTCTCTTTGAAATATTCAGGTGAATTTGATGCCTTTTTTATATTTGACAGGTTAATATTTATTCCCGGGGAACATCCTCATCGTCATTTTGAAGGATACGGTCTGGATTAATTTTAAGTTTATCTAAATCATTTTTTAAACGAAGGCCTAATGGTTTAATTTCCTTTGGTTTGTTAACAAATTTTTCAGTATAACTTGGTTTGAAAATAATATTTTTAGCTGGATTTTTCCTATTAGATGAAATTCTAGTTGCATATTGAAGTGATAGCTTTTAACGACGAAGATAAAGCGATGGTTCCCCAGCTTCCGCATATAGACTTTCTACAGGTGAAGTGCGAAAAGCACCTAAAGCTAAACGTAAACCCTGGTGATGTATGGTATCTAGCATTTGAAGATATGATTTTCTTGCAGACCCATATACTACAGAACCATAATCTAATTTTGATCGGATAAGACTTCTGTATAATTTCAGTAATGTGGAAGAATTTGATCCCCAATTTGTACTTAATAAAACCTTAAGTAAATTTAAAGCTTTTAGGCATTTAGTTTTCAAATGTTTAATATGCGGTATAAAAGAAAGTTTTTTATCAAATATAATTCCTAGAAACTTAGCTTCATCAACTACTGGAATTTTAGAACCAGATATGTAAAGTTCAGGGTCATTATGTTGTTTTCGCAATCGGCAGAAATGAACACATTGAGTTTTTGACTTTGAAAATTTAAACCCATTTTCTATTGCCCATTTCTGAATTTTATCTAAATTTTGTTGAAGTTGCCGTTCAATTGTTCTCATACTTTTCGATCGGTAGCAGATAAGAAAATCGTCTACATATAGAGAACAATCTATGCCTGGTGTAAGAGCGCTAGCAATATTGTTTATTTTAAGACCAAAAAGTGTAACAGAAAGTATGCTTCCTTGAGGAACACCTTGTTCTTGTTGGTGGTCTTGAGAAAAAGTTGAACCAAGTCTTACTTAAAGTTCCTATCGTTTAAAAATCCAGAAATGAAAAGAGGAAGTCTGCCATTAAGTCCAGCATCCTTTAGATCTTTTAGGATACCATATTTCCAAGTAGTGTCGTAAGCCTTCTCAAGATCAAAGAAAATTGATACCAGGTGTTGTTTATTTACAAAGGCTTCTCTAATAAAAGTCTCAAGTCGTACAAGATGATCGTTTGTACTTCGCTGTTTACGAAAACCTGACTGAAAATTAGTGATAATTCCATTATTTTCTAGATACCAAACTAACCGATTATTTATCATTCTCTCGAATGTTTTGCAGAGGCAACTTGTAAGTGAAATTGGACGATAATTTGTAGGGTCAGTTGAATCTTTTCCAGGTTTAGGGATAGGAATAATCAACGCATTCTTCCAAGTATTGGGAAATTCACCAGATACCCAAATGTTGTTAAAAATTTCAAGAAGCAAGTCTAAGGATTGGGGTGGTAAATGTTTAAGAAACTGGTAGTAAATTTCGTCCGGGCCTGCAGCACTATCTTTTGCAGTTTTGATTGAATAAATTAAGTCATCAATAGAGAAAAGGGAATTATAGTCTTCGTCGTTTGTTGATGTAAAATTAATATACTCTTTCTCAGCTTTACATTTATGTTGTTGAAATGTATTTGAATAATTGCTTGAAGAAGAGTTCTTTTCATAAACACATCTAATAATCTTGGGATCACAATTCTATCCACCATTATAACTTTATTTTCCATTATTCAGCATTATGTACAGCCCATTGCTGTATAAATTCATCATATAAACCACAGCATTTCTGCAGCTTACCTTTAAAGTATATGTTCTTCCTCCAACCCTATCCCTGGCTTCCAGCACTAAAACCTTTTCACCATTTTTCTGTAACTGTCTTGCAGCAGAAAGACCTTAATTAAGATTAAGAAATAAGAATATAATAAAATTTTATTTAGACTTCATTATAATTTTTAAAGATTGTGTGTAATTTCTAAGTGTGAATAGTGCTTAGAATTAAACTTTCTTGGGTCTAATTACTGTGCAGTATTATGAAATTATATGAATAAAGCAAAATTTCAAAGCAAGCTCACATACAAATTTACTAAAACAACATATTCTAACTAAGTATATATTAATCAAGTCTAAGAAACCCAACTCATTAAGTATCATATTTTGGGAAAAGGTGCCAAGCTCATTAAGAATTCTGTTTCAGGAAAGGGGTAAATTATCATGAAATGTGAACCTACATGTAGTCCTTCAATAAGTAAATGTAGGACAGATGATATATTCAGAAATGGTAACTGGCTGTTTACAACTTTGTAAATGATTTATGTTCAATATTAATATTGAGCTCAAAAAGCATTTATACTTGGCATTATTCGAGTACCTGCTAAATTAAAAAAGTGAAGTTTTTGAAAATTTTCGCCTTTAGTACCGCAAAATTATGGGTAATAGACCAATCCCAACTTTTCTACTATCAAGTTAAGGATAAAAAAACGAGGGATTCTGACTGAAAATGGATGCCTAGTCTCCTGCGCACTTCTATGGGAATAATAATTAATAGGATAGGGAACCAGAATAAACCGAAGCAGTGCATAAAATACCTACTGGCACTTTAAAAACAGAAAATTTTAAAATAACAAGAGCTGTCTGTAGGACAGCACGCTCGACTATTCTAAGTGCTTGATAGTAAAAGAGCCTTGATTAAATGTTAAATTTTTTAAGTTTGCAAAAGGGCTATTTTTTTTTATAAATTCTTGTTATAGGCCTTAGAGAGAGTCTAATTAAACAGTATTGGCTTGACTATTCGGAAGGTAATGTCATAAGGGTGTTTTATTGAGTATAATAATACTAATTACCTATGAATACATAAATTTGACAGAAAAGGTACAAAGGCTTGTTATTAAGATGTTTTATCAAGTAAATCACTGCTTAATTATTATGAATGCATAAAATTGTCCCAAAAAGGCACAAACCCTTTAGTAGTTATTGAGATAACAGCTTACAAATGAATTTCTAAGTTGAAAAAGGGGAGAAAAATCAGCCTAAATGCAAGATAGAATTATGGATCTTTGTCAGTGACCTACAATTATGACCCTAAATGCATATGTGAAGTTTTAAATAAATATCTTTAATAGTTATTGAGATATGTAAAACTTGCATGTATACATTAACCAAGAGACTAAGTAGAAAAGGGGATATGAATCAGCCTTAATGCAAGATAGAGTTATGGAACTTGGTCAGTGACATACAATTATGACCCTCCAATTATGACCCTAAGTGCATGTGTAAAGTTTCAAGTAAATATCTTTGAAGACCTTTAACCAAAATTTCTAAGTTTCAAAGGGGCAAATAATTCTGCAAATATTGCAGGCAGAGTTATGCAATTTTGCAAACTGATGTACATTGTTACTATAAAAAAGTATTTTAATTTTCAATTGAATATCTCAAGCAATAATTGAGATATTTGACTTTACAAAAAACTTTAACCAAAATATCTAAGTTAAAAAGGGGCATAATTCTGTCAATATTGTAGGCAGAGTTATCCAACTTGTCAATCTGATGTACCTTGTTACTATAAACAAGTATTGTAAGTTTCAATTGAATATCTCAAGTAATAATTGAGATATTTGACTTTACAAAAAACTTTAACCAAAATTTCTAAGTTAAAAGGGGCATAATTCTGTCAATATTGTAGTCAGAGTTATCCAACTTGTCAATCTGATGTACCTTGTTACTATAAATAAGTATTGTAAGTTTCAATTGAATATCTCAAGCAATAATTGAGATATTTGACTTTACAAAAAACTTTAACCAAAATTTCTAAGTTAACAAGAGCCACCGCCGGGCGGGGGCAACGCTCGACTTTTTACTTTTTCTAAACGCAAACATAGAAAGGTTTGAACATATATTGATGTTTCCTTTTTATAAATTTAGTTGGTCTGTCTTGTCACATTAGTTTTGTTTATATATTTTGTATATATATGAATAGAAACATTAAGCATATTTCTAAAAATAGCAACAGTACGCAATTTCTAAAAATAGCAACAATGACGCAATTTTTAAAAATAGCAACAATGACGCAATTTCTAAAAATAGAAAAAATGACGCAATTTCTAAAAATAGAAAAAAATGACGCAATTTCTAAAAATAGAAACAATGACGCAATTTCTAAAAATAGAAGAAAAAAAAATGACGCAATTTCTAGAAATAGAAACAATGACGCAATCGCTAAAAATAGAAAAAAATGACGCAATTACTAAAAATAGCAACAATGACGCAATTTCTAAAAATAGAAAAAATGACGCAATTTCTAAAAATAGAAAAAAATGACGCAATTTCTAAAAATAGCAACAATGACACAATTTCTAAAAATAGAAAAAAATGACGCAATTTCTAAAAATAGAAAAAAAATGACGCAATTTCTAAAAATAGCAACAATGACGCAATTTCTAAAAATAGAAAAAAATGACAAAAAAATCTAAAAATAGCAACAATGACGCAATTTCTAAAAATAGAAAAAATGATGCAATTTCTAAAAATAGAAAAACATGACGCAATTTCTAAAAATAGAAAAAAAATGAAGCAATTTCTAAAAATAGAAAAAATGACGCAATTTCTAAAAATAGAAAAAATGACGCAATTTCTAAAAATAGAAAAAAATGACGCAATTTCTAAAAATAGAAAAAAAATGACGCAATTTCTAAAAATAGAAAAACATGACGCAATTTCTAAAAAATAGAAAAAATGACGCAATTTCTAAAAATAGAAACAATGACGCAATTTCTAAAAATAGAACAAAAATGATGCAATTTCTAAAAATAGAACAAAAATGATGCAATTTCTAAAAATAGAAAAAAATGACGCAATTTCTAAAAATAGCAACAATGACGCAATTTCTAAAAATAGAAAAAAATTACGCAAATTCTAAAAATAGCAACAATGACGCAATTTCTAAAAATAGAAAAAATGACGCAATTTCTAAAAAATAGAAAAACATGACGCAATTATATACATGTATATATATGTATATATATATATATATATATATAATATATATATTTGATATATATATATATATATTTGATATATATATATATATATCTATATATGTATATATATATATATATATATACATGCATATATATATATATATTTATGTATATATATACCTGCATATATGTATATATATACACACACACATTTATATATATATATATATATATATATAATACATATACTATACATACACACACACCAATAAATGCACAATCTGAGAAAATTCAGTAATATAACCTTCAAGGTCAAGGTCATTAAAGAGCCCAAGCAAATTTGGGTTTGATAAACAACAAGGTCTGGTCCTTAAGAATGTTCTGTTATAATATGAAGTTTATCCCTTCAAAAATAGCAAAGTTACAGTCAGTTACTGCCAAAACAATGAAAATTTCAATAATTTGACCTTCAAAGGCAATGTCATTAATGAGTGAAGGTCAAGGTCTTTCGGAATATTTTTAACAGTTATCTTTGAAGATTATTATGTTCAAGTTTGAAGACAATCCATTCAAAAATAACAAAGTTACAGCCAATAATAGCCAAAAAAATGAAAATTTCAATAATTTGACCTTCAAAGTCAAGGTCATTGATGAGTGAATGTCAAGGTCTGACTGGTTATTTTTAAGGGATATCCTTGAAGATTATTATGTTCAAGTTTGACGACAATCCATTCAAAAATAACAAAGTAACAGCCAATAACAGCATGAACAAGCAAAAATTGGACTTTTAACCTTGAAGGTCAAGGTCATTTATGGATGAAGGTCAAGGTTAGTGTGGTCTACTGAAAGGTCTTGTCCCAAGGGTTGTTGTGGCCAAGTATGAAGAAAATACACCAAGAAATAAAAAAGTTATGATCCAGGTACAAGTTTTCGGACGGCAACGGCAACGGCAACGGAGACGGCAACGGCAACGGCAACGCCGACCTGACTATAACAATACCTCTACTTTTTTTTTCAAAAAAAAAAAAGTCGAGCTAAAAAGGGGCATAATTCTGTCAATATTGTAGGCAGAGTTATCAAACTTGTCTATCTGATGTACCTTGTTACTATTAATAAGTATTGTAAGTTTCAATTGAATATCTCAAGCAATAATTGAGATATTTGACTTTACAAAAAACTTTAACCAAAATTTCTAAGTTAAAAAGGGGCATAATTCTGTCAATATTGTAGGCAGAGTTATCAAACTTGTCTATCTGATGTACCTTGTTACTATTAATAAGTATTGTAAGTTTCAATTGAATATCTCAAGTAATAATTGAGATATTTGACTTTACAAAAAACTTTAACCAAGGCAGACGCCGACACGGACGCTGACGCCGACGCCGGGGCGACTACAATAGCTCTCATATTCTTCGAATAGTCGAGCTAAAAATGAAAGATTATTAAAACTGACAATCACATTTATAGGCTTCGTCTAATTTAATATTACCCAAACTATAATCTATTTCCATGTCCTATCATGGTTCCCATCTACAATACATGTATGTACTCCGATGGGTCTCGGGATTCAATTGAGATATATAAAACATGAAATGGCTGTATAGTGTGTGGTTGTGTCGAGTGAATTGTGTGGTCGAAAGTGTACAGTTTCAGTGTATTGAAAACATAAAATGTGTAGCCATATATAATTAATATAACTTCTGTCAAAGAGCTTGCTTTGAGGGTTTGCCTTATTCTGTTTCATATTATCTTTCTGCAATCTTATATAATTTGGCAAACTTAGATAATATTGTGAAGTCAATTTTCTTCTTGATAATCAAAGGAAGATTATTTTATGATAACTTAAACATGATTGGCAGGACAAGTGTGCCTAACTGTCGAACACCTGTGATCAAATCACTATGAATTTTGGATATGTTTATGTCGCGAAAATACATTAAATTTGATATTTTCAAATTTGTACATAATTTTTCAAACATATTTTATAGTTTAGTTTACATTTCTAGTATAAACGTATAAAACCATAGCCAGAAAATTACTTGCCACTTAATCCTGCTCCAATAATTATTGTATCAAACTTTTGACTTTCCATGTTTTGGGCTTACTAATCGACGGTTTCCGGCCTCCGGTCTTTGACGGTCCCCGGAAAAACCGGCGACTTGTAGATTATTACTCAAATCGACGTTATCTTGGTTAAACATAATTGATATATATTGAAAAGACTGAATGATAAAGTTTTAAGGACGATTGTTTATTATTGTCAATGTCTTGAAATTATGAAGAAAGTGACTTTATTGAGATGCTACATGTACATGTACAATCACTCAGCACAATGTTTGGATTGTGCAAAAAGAAATTCTAGAAAAAAAACATATACTGTATATATAATATATAGACACGGTCTATATATTATATATACAGTATATGTTTTTTTTCTTTCTTGAATTTTCTTTTTACACTATTCCAACACTGCTTGTGTAGACCCTGAGCATGTAATTAATAAAAGCTTTAAGTAATTCAGATTTTATGTTAATTTATTTGTAAAACAATTAAAGGTTAATTAAACGATATTGTTTTTGGTACAGACACTTGTATACCAACGATCGCAATGCATTTTGTTACCTTTTCACATTTTTTGTTATTTTTTTTTTTAACAAGACAATGGGTGTCATTCAGCATTATTGTTTTATATCATAAATGTGATACTCAAATGAAGATTTATCAATTTTGTAAGCTCCAAAAAACATTATTTGTAAAGATTTTACAGAATTTACATTTCGTGAAAATAAAGGGAGGTAATTAGAAATTTATTTCCGATAAAGGCTTAGCCAAATATTTCAATAAGAAATGATTGCACATATTTCAATTATTAGTTATAATGCGTTTAACACTTGCAGTTCATATTTAACATATTCTTAGGTGTTTGGAAATCGTTTTAGAAAAATAATTATATACATATATAAAAGTTCACATCCTAAATTACAACATAAAGGATAACCATCTGTTGCGTCGTGTCCGCGTCAAACGTTGCCACTTTTGTTGTGCTTATATGATCAATGTATGAAGTAGAAATAGTTCTTGACCACTTACTCCGATGTGTTATGTTTGTAAATTGACGAGTTTCGGCGTCATCCCGCGTGGACCGCATATACACACCTCAGGCCTGTATTTATGCTTTAAAGCAGAACACCTCCAGATTCATGTTAATTTTCATGACAGTTTTGGAAATGAATTTAAAAATAAAATATTGTGAGGTGAAGAAATAAATTAATTTATATATTGCAATCGGTACTTGTATACAATCCAAGAAAATTACCCAAAAGTAGTCAACATATGCAAAAAACAGCCCTTACTGTAAAATATAACATGGTTCTTAGATGATTTTACCTTTCTTAAAAGTTTAGTACATTATCTCAATATTGATTTTCTTGAAATACTTTGACTCATCTGGAGGCGTGCAGCGTTAAAGTTAAAAGTAAAGATACAGTTCAGCGTTAACCACCATTAAATCATCGTCGGATACCCACGGCCGAACCATTATCATTCATGTTATGTAACATGTTTATCAATCGTGGGTATCCGACGATGCCATTAAATGTGTCTGTTCGTTAACAGGATCGAGTCTGTGCAAATACAAAAAACGTAAATATATAAATACAAATGTAAATTTGAAATTGAAACTGTAAATTTACTAAAAGAAAACCAGTTAAGAGGACGTCGGAATTTAAGTTACAATTTAAGTCAACAAGCAAACGCTCTGCGGTGAATGTTCTACTTAGTTCTTTTTAATAACGTCATTTGGCTACATTGGGTTTATAAAAAAATATCTGTTGAAATGAAACATGTAAAATACTTTTGAAGTAATGCATGTGTTGAAAGGAAACTCGAAAACATAATTTAACAAAGAAGTATATCACCAATTAGCAACATTTATAACATTTGAACGATTCATTTATGTATTGGATACATTACAAGTTTTTCTTCAAAAGTGTCTTCTTACAAACGTTACCAGAAGACAGTTGGAGGTATAGACGTATTATGAAATTTAACGGTATTATTTTATAGCCATTATTGTTGCAATGCAATGAGATCTTTATAAGATATTCCATATTGACACAGAACGGCTCATTTATCTTATATAATATATCTAGTGTTGGACTATAATAACCCCATCCGCTTACAGTATTGCACTTGCTAATTATGCGTTATATCTTTTCCGATAAACACATATTATACGAAATATGAATATCTCATTTTTGAAATTGGATCAGAAAACTAATCCACCACTTCATGATTTTATTCAATGCAAAAAGAAATGTTACATTCATAGTCACAATAAACAAGCATCATTTATTAAAGGTGTATAACGTCTTAATGCTGGATCCATAAAGAACTCTGCTTGTCAATAACCGTTGCCTTTTTTAGAAGAAACAAAATTAATGTCACTCCTCACTATAAGTACAACACGATCATCTGATCAACGATTGAACAACAATCATACAGCAAATTAGTCATGTTCCTTGTATGACATCAGAACTGGATAGGCCATGACGCCTACTAGAATGTTGTTCGAATCTTAAGTAGATAATACTAGTACGTCTGCATATGTATGACATCATTTAACATGTAAACTGACTTATATCAAGATTTGAGCCGCGTCACGACAAAACCAATTAACATAGTGCGTTTGCGAACAGCATGGATCCAGACCAGCCTGCGTATCCGCGCAGTCTGATCAGGATCCATGCTGTTCGCTTATAATTACCAATTCTATTACAAGTAGAGAAACTGATAGCGAACAACATGGATCCTGATCAGACTGCGCGGATGCGCAGGCTGATCTGGATCCATGCTGGTCGCAAACCCATTATGTTGGTTTTGTCGTGAGGCGGCTTATTTATTTTTATGATCACTCCTATACAAACAACTGCTCTTGTACTCTGCTAGACTACTGTCCAATTAACGGACACTCGGGTACTATTTGTTTTGTACTCTGGATGACATCATCAAAATGTATGACGCTATTTGAAACACACAAATAGTTATGCTTCTATTAACCACATTCCTGTTTTCCCTCGTAAAAGCACGTGCCACGAGGGCACAGTTGTATCACCATGTCACCGGGTAGACATCTCACAAACTTTCGACATGGTGTATAGGGATGAGGAATACTCATTTCTTTTCCCTCATTCTTACAATAATTCACTGAAATATATTCAAAATATTTTCATTCATTCATGTTTTTGCACAAAACGAAAGTTTAATAAAAAGGAATCTAAATACATATACATGTAGTTTTAATATGAACATATTTGTGTACCTTATATCATTTAGCAATAGCAGTAAAAACAAAACAACCTGCTGAAAACAATATAGTGTATAAAATATTTAATTTTCAGAGAAGTAATTATACATGTATGTCAGAACTTTTTTGGGGGTTAAAAATTATTTGCAGTAAAACAACTTGACTTGAAACAAACAACAATAATATTTTGTTTTTGTATTTATGAGTTAAAGAATAATAATAAGAATTTTACAGGCTGTTATTATCTTATGGATTTACAGCTGAAGTCAATATAGATGGGCTTCTCTTACTGCAATAAGGAAATTTACCTATCATATTTAATACAATCAAAATATTTATATAACCATACATACATGATATACACGTATACATGATATATAACCATACATACAGAATGCACACTTATATGATATATAACCATACTTTAGTAAATGTATACTTACATGATATATAACCATACACACAAAATGCACACTTACATAATATATAACCATAAACACAGTATGCACACTTTTATGGTATATAACATCCACACAGAATGTAGACTTACATGATATATAACCATACACAGAATGTACACTTACATAATATATAACCATACACAGAATGTACACTTACATAATATATAACCTCAAACACAGTATGCACACTTACATGGTATAACTAAAATTTTATCTTGACCAGGCTGGACTTGTGTGAGATATTTTTCCATTGATTTGTCAACAAAATATTTCTTAGTTTCGATATTAGGTTTCACTATAACGGTTGTGTCATTCAAGTGTATTCTCGGAAAGACCACTATGGAATGCTGAAATATAGTTTTTATGATTACATCAATTATGTAAAATGTAGTATTTAATAATTATTGATGAAACAGTTTGATATGCAAATTAGGTCACCAGTATTTTCACTGAATAAGACACTAACAAAAACAACATAATTTTATCTAGTCTGCATTCCTTACCATGCGGAAGTTATGGCATAGAATCATCAGTATGTATTTTCAATGTTAAAGTTATATTTCAGATATTAACGTATCAATCCTTTGAATATTTATACTGCGCAGTATAAGTTTGAAATATCTAATTAAAGTCAGCTTCAGTTTAAACAAAATGGAAGCATGTTTCTAAAAAAACACAACATGTATACTGCATACGTATTAAATGTTAAACATCATATTAATTTAAAAAGCACACTTTGTATTACAATATATGCCCAGATTTATGCTTTCGTCAAGCAGATCATCATCATCATCATCATCATCATCATCATAACATCATCACCATCATCATCATCAACGACAACAACAACAACAACATCATCATCATCATCATCATGCAACAGTGGACCTGACTAAATGTTGTCATAAGAACTTATTTGTGTTATGATACCATTGTATTCTATACCTTAAGTGTAGTTTGACAAAATTTGTGATCCACGTGTAGTTCATAATCTCTGTATTCACCGTAATCTGCCAAATTATAACTGTAAATAAAAAATAATACATGTATATATGAGTATGTAAATATGATAGAAAAGATAATTTAATACACGTATAGACTTCCTTCTTTATAGCGTCTTAGTTCATATTTTTTATTATCGGTGTATTTTTTTTTCTGATCATTTCTCAACACTTTCAGTGTTTAACATCAAGAACAACTTAAACCAGTGCCTACAGGCCAATGCCTGTTTGAATAAGATACTGAACATAGTAATGATGAATCTCAATCTATGTTTGGATGAAGAATATCCGTTAAATGCATAAAAGGTTTGCCCATTTAGTCCGAATTAGTTCATTTCATTGTTGTAATACATCAGGCTTGTCAGGATCATTGATTAGCATTAGTGTCCGCGTACAACGAATCACATTTATATTTCATTACCTTTTATTATTGGCATCTAAGGCGGTCCATGACATATTTGCCCAGGGTATGGGGTAGCCACCTTGCCATGATGCTGTTATACGGAAGGCCCTGTCCTCTATTACAGAAGGTCCTAGTGTCAACGAAATCTTCTTGCTTGGTTTCCCTGAATGAACAGTGGAAAAGATGCCATAACAGTTTATACAGTTGTGTTTTCAATATATGTTTTATCTTTGAAGGGGAACGATGGCCTAGTGATAAGGTGTCTGCCTCTCAACCCAGGGATCATTGGTTTGAGACCTTCTTGGGTCAAATGGAACTAGTAGTGGTTAGTTCGAGCGGACTTGAAAGTGATTGCTATAAGTTGCAAGAATTTGTTCCGCAACCGAGCTGAAATAAATTTATTTTAACTAAACCTTTTATTGTTTTAAGTTCAACGCAGGCAAAAAGTAATGCCGTTAACAAACAGGCCAATAAAGATCGTACTGACTGACGATGAAATATGATGTTAATAGATTTGGTTGAACATTCAAATGCCGCGTGGCAGCTGTAAAATATTGCCCCCACTACACTTTAATGTTGTTATATATTTCTTGTCCTTCGGGATCATTGAATGCAGCACACTAAGTGTTGAAAATTGAGTACCTCTTTAGACGGTGCTAGGGTGGGGGCATGAGGGATGTTTCAATTTTTCATTATCCCTTATGTACAGACTCAGCCAAATCGATCCTGCAGTTTTCAGGTAATTTTGTTGTTTTTAGTGCTTTCGGGGATCACCTTTGTTCAAAATTTTCATAAGAGAGAAAACATAAGTCATTAAAAATATCACGCCTAACGAATTTAAGAGTACATAGTGTACACCTAATTAGAAAATAACTCACCCACTACGATAAGGCGACTTCTTGCTGTTCTATTTTCTATCGATGACTTGAGACTACAAATAAAATTTTTTGCATCCGACATTGGGGACGTCTTTTAAATATCCAAATTTAACGTAATTTTATTTCTTCCCCATCCGTGCTTTTTTTAGTCAAACATGGACTTTTGGCCTGTTTTTCTTCGCTCTTTCCCCTTTTTACAACCCCGGAAAGGAAAAAAAATGCTTCAACGGTTCCTGCTTGATCATTTTTACAAAAGTAAATTTCCAAAATTTGACTGCGTGTCAAAACATTCACAACACAGTATTGCCTTGTCGAAAGTATAAGATGTGACATCAGACATTTCAACTGTATCTACAAAGATTGATCAAACAAAGTGCAATTTTATGCTGTTTAATTATTTGTTATACTTCTATCATTTGCTTTTGAATATAAAAAAACCCAACAACATCTTTAGACCACATATCAATTTGTAATAAGAACGCTTTTGTTATATTAAATGTTATAATTAAGTTTATATTTATGCTATAAATGTTATAAGGATAAAGCTAAAACCGACATTCTGGCTTTCAGATAAAGCTAATATTTTGCAGACAATAAATTTGTCAGATATAAATTGTAGTCCAATAAAAACTGTATAGATGAACAATGCAATAAAATATTATAAAAGGGTGCAATTAACTTATAAAAAGGCAATTTCCTGTTCCCAATACAATTACAGTAAGCTGAAAAAAAAACTGTTACGTAAGCGTATGCACAATTATAACTTATTCGTGCATACGCAACAAAAACACTGCAAAGTAATGAAAAGCAATTCCTTAAGCACCAGAGACAGTTTTAGATATAAAAAACACATATTTTATTTTAAGTGTGTGTTCACAGAAAGAGAAAAAGTAACAACACAATTGTATGTTGGATTTTTTTTAATTCCTAGCAAAAAAGTAAAAGTTGTAAATCATTTAAATGCATGTTTTAATTATGTAAAAACTGGACTTTACACAAAGAGATTTAAAATTTCACTTATAAGATTTTGCAAAAAATACAAATCCCATATAAATTTCAGACAAAGCTTTTTATGACAAGTTTTTTATATATGGACATATATTTTAGAGAATAATGCAAGAATGACACATGTCTACTAAAATTAAGTTTTATCTTCAACTTAAAAAAACAATGCAAGCTATTGTTTACGTTAACTCAAATGAGTGAACTCATCCGAAAATTGTATGACAGCGGACTGACTATAGCTTACTATAACATCACGTTGCTACGTAGTCATAATAGACGCTATCGCTTTAAATCAGCGACGACTATAGTGATAACGTTACTCCAACAGTTGATAGCATTGTAAAATACTTAATTGATGTTTAAGACATATCATAGAATGATAAAAAGAAAATTTATAATGCTACAGAGCATATATCTGCAGAAGCATAAAAAGGAATGATAGATATGATGGTTCTTTGTCATAAAGTTGAAGGTTTTGTCTGTGCCTCACCCAGGCACCGGCTCATGCATAATTATGAAAACAATTTAAATCATCATTACGGCGATGATTATGGAATCTTCAACTGACACGTTTGCGATGTACATGTATATATTTTATAAAAATAGTCGAACATGATTTATGATTAGGTATCAGGGTTGCGTTTCATAGAGAGTCCTTAGTCTAAAATCAGTCTTAAGACCAAAACAGAGACAGTTTTGTGATTAAAAGAAATATCCTAACATATGACTTCTATGTTAAGACTTGTTGGATTTCTTAATAGTCATGTAGATAAGCACGAATTGTGGGTTGAAGCATGTGCCATTGTATTTCTTAACTCCTCTCTGAAGAGTGAAATTAATTAAAGTCCAAGTCTTTGATTAAAGATGAAAATATTTATTGAAGTCCTAAAGTTATCCTTAGTCTTAGGATTTAGGATATACTTGAGACTTTCTATAAAACACACCCAGAATCCTATACCTGTAATATAGATCATCATGCTATACATCATATATATTCTAAAATGAACATGCTACGCAATAATATTATAATGCATATAAATGTAGTAAGCGCCACATGAACCATGCACTTTATTACATACATGTATTCAGATATGTGAACAAAACGCCTTAACAATATCTTTAAAAAAGATAGCGAATTTCCTTTTATCTCAATTGATATTTATTGCAAAAATAATGAACATTGATACATTATTCAAACTATTACTTTGATATAATGCATCGTCATTGGAGTTAACGTATCAACAAGTAAATTTAGATGAACAATTGCTTATGTTATTAACAAACGAGTTCTCAATAATACTTAATTAAATTGGCCGAGAAGTTTGTAGGTAGGATATATTAATATTGTTTGTAGGAATTGCAAGTGACTGCCGTGCGATGCTAAAGCCGAAATTTTACCCACTAAACGCTAATTATAAAATAACTGTCGTGTGAAAAAAATGTGAATAAAGGAGATTATTTTTTTACAATGCACATCAGAACTATATATTTTCGGTTTTTATGATTAATATATACTACTCCAATAAGTATTTCGGTTAAAGATTATATCAATAGTTAAATGTATATGTTATATAAAGCAGGATCCTCTAGTCCATATATTTCTATCTATTCAAAACTTACTATAGTTTTCTGGCAGTGTTGTTATCTCTGGTAGTGTAGTTGATCGTTTCTAGCAAAAATGTGTGTAGTTTTCTAACAAATGTTGTAGTAGTTTCTGGAAATGTCGTGGTTGTTTCTGGAAATGTCGTGGTTGTTTCTGGAAATGTCGTGGTTGTTTCTGGCAATGTCTTGGTTGTTTCTGGAATGTCTTGGTTGTTTTTGGAAATGTTTGGGTTGTTTCTGGAAATGTCGTGGTTGTTTCTGGCAATGTCTTGGTTGTTTCTGGAAATGTCGTTGTTGTTTCTGACAACGTCTTGGTTGTTTCTGGATATGTCGTGATTGTTCCTGGAAATGTGGTAGTTGTTTTTGGAAATGTCGTGGTTGTTTCTGGAAATGTCGTGGTTGGTTCTGTCAATGTCTTGGTTGTTTCCGGATATGTCGTGGTTGTTTCAGAAAATGCCGTGGTTGTTTCTGGAAATGTCGTGGTTATTTTTGGAAATGTCGTGGTTGTTTTTGGAAATGTTTGGGTTGTTTCTGGAAATGTCGTGGTTGTTTCAGGAAATGTCGTGGTTGTTTCTGGATATGTCGTGGTTGTTTCAGGAACTGTTCTGGTTGTTACTGGAAATATTGTAGTAGTTTCTGGAAACGTCGTGTTTGTTTTTGGAAATGCTGTTGGATTTTCTGTAAATGGCACGACAGTTTCTGGAAATGTTGTGGTTGTTTCTGGAATTGTCGTTTGTTTTTCTGTTAATTTCACAGTAGTTTTTGGAAATAACGTGGTTGTTTCTTGAATTGTTGTGGTTGCTTCTATAATTGTCGTGGTTGTTTCTGAAAATGCTGTTGGTTTATCTGGAACTGCCGTGATTATTTCTGTAAATGTTGTGGTAATTTCTGGAAATTCTGTTGTTGTTTTTGAAAGATTTGCTTTCCATCTAGTTGTCTTATAATCCGACAAAACTGATGTCGTTGTTAATGCTTGAAATGGAGTTGAACTCAGTTTTGCTAAACCTTTGGGTTTTACAGCTGACTTTTGTGTTGTTGGAGACACAGATGTATATTCATCTGGCAATGGTGTTGTCGTTATATCTGGTAATGATGTTGTCGTTGCGTTCCGTAATTTTGATGTTGTTTCTGATTTAAGATTTGTTGTGTTTGGTAATGTTTTGGTTGTATTCAAAAAAGAATAATCTATTTCAGACACCATTGATGACGTTTTTGATAAAGATTTGGTTGTGTTAGAATATGACGTTGCTGTTTCGTTTACCGTTTCCAAAGTTGTTAACAATGATGTATTCGGCGATAAAGAATATTCAAGTAAAGCTGAAGTTGATTTCGGATACACTGCTGTTGTTTTCGGATATGTTTTCACTTTTCTGGTTTCTATTGTACCGTCTGATGAATTCGTTACTTCTTGGGTTGTTTCTGATATTTCTGCGGTTGTAATGTACAGTGACGTTGTTGTGTCTAATGTTGAATCTGGATGTAATTTGCTTTCTGGTATTTTTATCATATTCATAACTGTTATTAAATCTTGCACTTCTGTCGATGTAGTGGTGTCTAGCATGTTTACAACACCTGGCTTTGTTCCTTTTCGTAATATAGGTAGAAGCGGTGCAGCTTGTGCTAATAATACAGCTTTTGAATTTGGATTTCTTGATATTGAATATTTCGCTGTTGTTATATTTCCTGCTGTAACAGACGTGGGTGTTTCTGTTTCAGTAATTTGGTTTGAAACAAAACTAGAATGTCCTTCGACTGTTGTAAATTTACCATCTAAATCCAAGACATCTGTCGTAGGTAGGATATCAGAAGTCACTGTAAGAGATGTTTGTTATTCTATTCTATGCAGGTATTTCGCAAATGATCATTTAGAAAGAAAATAACATTATTTGACATTTAAAAAAAACATGTATAGCTAGGCTGAATGTTGATATTGGAAATCGTTGAGCAACATTCATTTCTGCTTGTTATTCAATATAGTTATATCTTATATAATTTTATGACAAAGGTACACTTATGACAAAATGGCTGATTCGAATTTTTGATAAATATTATTAACAAGAATAATCAAATCTAACTGTTTTTGCAAATGCACTTTTGCAGTCACAATTTAAAAATAACTTTTTTTCGGATAATTACCATGACATCATGTAATATATTTACACGCTCGGACCATTTTAGTAAAGCGTTATTGTAAAAGTGATTTTACATTCACAAGTCTAAGCATTTATGCCTCCTTTTCATTGAAATCATTACGTAGCTACGTCAATCAATAAGAAAAAATGTCAGCACATTAGATGTCAAATGATTAAGTGTCAATAGTTATACAAAATGTACACTAAATTACAGAGTATATTGACATGTCAAGTCAAAATTTAATTAATAAAAAACTAATCTAGTAACGGCCTGAGACAAAGGTATAGAATCGGTTACTATGTCGTTAAAATTAATATAATTTACATAACTTTATTTGTTGATAATATCTTATTAAAATACAATACAATACGATGAATATAAACAATAGAATTGTGTATATGTTTAACTTACATTTTGATATACACTGTTTACGACCGTTATTATAGAAAGATGCATACAAAGTAACATATATTCCAGACATTCAATAATAAATCAATCGAAAGTATAGCACATAATAAAAAAACAAATAAACTGTTGATAAGCAAAGTTAAAGCAGCATGCCTACAGATTCATGTTAATTTTTCATTAAAATTTGGAAAATGTATTTAAAAGTAAAATATTGTGAAGAAAAACAAAGAAAGTAATTTTAAAATTGCAAACGGTACTTGCAATCCACGTAAATTACCAAAAAAAACAAAAACAAAACGAGGTCAACATAGCCTTACTGCGCTAGCCACGCAGTTGAAATATGGTGATAAATACTTCAAAATCAGTCTTTAATTGCACCTAGCATGCAAATTATTACTTTAATCTTGAATATTTTTACTTTTCTTGGTGCTGGTGCTTTTTTGCTTAATTATGTTATTTTTTACTTGAAATAGGTTTGGCTCATCTGGAGGAATGCAGCTTTAAAGGCAAGTTGGCTGGCAAATATACAAATAACAAAACGAAAGCTTCTTCAAATGTATGCGTTTTATAACAGTTAAGCAATGTCCTGTACAAATATTGTGGTCTCTGAGAATGATAACTTTAAATTTATTTCATGACCGTTAAATAATTTACATTGATTTACAT